ACGGGTGGGGGGGGATGGGTTTCCACATTCATAGACCGGGAGAAGGAGTGGGGGGACCCTTGTTTGATGGGCGAGGTGGGGGTTCGGGATCCCTACAGGAATTTCCCTGCAAACTCAACGGGTTGCCGGCTTCCCTTTTAAACCCGGGTTGGGCCTGGGGGGGGGGCCAACTTTCAAGTCGGGGCCTTAAGTGGGACGGGGTGTTTCTTCACGCAAAGAACAGTGGCCTTCCGCGGCCGCTGCGGGCGGCCCCCGGAAAAGGCCCGATTCCGACCCGGGCAGGCCCCCCGGAGGCGTGCATACAAAGCGTCCGCCACCGCCGGCTCAGCCCCGGCTCGACATGACTCTGGCCCGCGCGGGGTCGCCGACGGCGCCGAGTCGGCGCCAGAGGCACGCCCGGCGGCCGGATGGTCGCCTCGAGCGCTGAGCGGCTGCCGCCACGGTCACTTACGCTCGAGTTGCGCCAGGTGCGCCTCTCGGTGGCCCGGCGCGGCCGCACGTGCTCTCTGTAGATGTCTGCTCTCACTCGACGGCAGGCGTGCTCCGTGCTCTCGCCCGATTCTCTCCCTGCCGCCGGCCTCCGCCCCCGAGCGACCGCCGCCGCACACCGACTATTGCCGGTATGACTGCCGTCCCTCACTCAGCCGTCCGTTTGTCCTCAGCGCTCGCACGACCGACGTTCTTCCTCCTCTGCGGCCTCGCTCGGGCCCGCTCGTCGACACGCGCAACCAGCAGACGCCCGTGTCGGAGCTTCTGTGCCGGCTTTGAGCTTCCATCGCTGATGGGGGCACGCCCGGCCCGGCACTCTCGCACACCGTGGAGCGCGGCACCGCGCGCGCTCACGCCGCCCACCTTTGCTGCCTGCGCAGGTGCGGCTCTGTCCCGGCGGCTCACTCATCGAGCACCTCACGGCTGCGCGGCGGCTCACTCATCCGCACCACCGCGACCGGTGCGCCATCCCACATCACGCCTCTCGCCCACGTCCACCCGCACACACTCTGTCATGAGTAGTCTTCAATCGACACGGTCTCTTGGAGTAGTCACATCAGCACCGGCGCCGGCACAGCGCACCGCTACACTCGCCTCCGTTAGGTTGCAAACATCGCCCTCAACATCCGCTTGCGCCTCACACGTCCGGGGGCAGTGTCGCGTGAGCCACAGCTTAGCACCGACGCCAGGCTCTTAGCTGTTAGCTCTACGTGTACGTGTGTGTGTGGTGGGGGGGGGAGGGCGGCGTAGTCAAAAGAAAAGCCTCAGTCGAGAGAGGCTAGTAGCCCCTTCGAGTGCGGGCTCCGCGCCCGTCTTGTCCTGGCATATAAGAGAGGCGAATGGGACAGGGGTTGAAGGGGTACACGCTTGGTACCCGGCCGTTTTTCGCGTTTCTCTACAAAACTGTGTCCAAGCCGAAGGCCCGAAGCGCAGGTCCGAGCTCGACATGCGACCAACGTGGTCCCGCACACCAGTGCTCGTGCTCGCACGTGCGGCCGCCTCTCCTGCTCGACTACTCGTGCTCTGCCTCTGCGCGCTCGCTGCGTCCGTGCCACTTCTTCGCTGCCTCTCGCCGCTGCTCCTGTCCTTGACTGCGCCTCGGGTCGAGGCGCCAGCAGCAGCGTCAATGGAGTGGCTGGTCCACACTGCAGCAGCGCCGCGGGCGGACGCGAGAAGGCAAACGCGACCGTGCCGATGAGCGCGAGCAGAAGCAGCGGGAGCGCGGGGCAGCACGACGGGTCGGGCAAGTTCTTGGCCCAGCGCCGCGCCTTGCCCATGCTGCCGCCGCCGCCGCCGCCGTCGGCGTCGCCGACCACAGGCTCGTCGTCCGGCGCGGCATCGTCGTCGGCGGCAGGGGGTGGGGGGTCGGCGGGCACGTCCTCGTCGTAGCCGTCGTCATCGGGATCAGGAGTGGCGTATCGCGCGGTCGACATGCCGGCGAGCTCGTCGACCGTCGAGTAGGTGCCTGCGACCGAGCACGGGGGTGCGTGACGCTCGGACCGACGCATGGGACCGGCTCTTCCGCGCGTCGAGAGCGGCGACGCTTTCGAGGCGCGCGGCAGAGGCCCGCGGCGTGCTTCCGAGCGCGTCAAAAAAGACCCGCGGTGCTCACACACACCCACGCGCTCGAGCAAGCCCACCCCGCTCGGAAAAAATAGCTTCGGAACCGCTTTGCCAAGGCGCACAATAGTCACACTGACAGCATTTTCCAGATGCGTCATCCTGGGCCGCTGGAAAATGCTCTCAACCCCGTACCCTCTGTGACCGTCTGCCGGTCGCCATTTATTTCTGGCTGCCGAGGATGCCACAACTGGAAAACACTGTCAGTCTGACTATTGTGCGCCTTGGCGAGGCGGTCCCGGTGGTATTTTTTTAGAGCTGGTTCGGCATGCACGAGCGCGTGGGTGTGTGTGAGCACCGCGGGTCTTTTTTGCGATCCCGGGTCTTGTGCTTGTGCGTGATGCTGTGTGGCATGTGGTCGTCTGCAGTCAGTATAGACATGATAGGGGTGGACTATAGGTCCAGTAGGTCAATTGATCTCGCTTAGTCGCATCGTGGGGAGCTCATCCCGGGCCGTCGCAGGCCGCCGCGCATCGGGTCTTTTTTGCGAAGCTGATGCCTCTACGGCGGTGCGGACTGCGGTGGCGATACGTGTACGTAGCGCGCCCCCGCGGCGAGCCGGAGGCGATATGTGTGTAGAGCCGTGGCGAGAGCGCTCGGGATCTAGATCGGTCGCGACACCTCGGTGTCGAATTGCTTTCCACCAACAAAAACCGTCGATATCGCCCGGAGGAGAGACTGCACCGGCCACTGCTCAACCAGTGTGCCAGTGTCCCCGCACAGCTCACTACATCTCCAGCAGCTCGAGCGAGTAGTCCGGGATTGGCCGGATCGGGCGGGACTGCTTGAGCGTCGCCTGGCCCACGTAGCCCTTCAGGCCTTTCATCGCCGAGCAGAGCTGCACGTGCCTCCGAGCAAGCTTGCCGAGCTGTTGCAGCGCGTCGTGCGCCGGCGCGTGCATCAGCAGCTGAGAGGCGTGCGCGTCCAGCAGCACGTTCGTCCAGCCGACGAGTTGGCCGAGCATGGGCGTGCACCCGCCGCCGCCGCCACCTCGCACGCTGCTGCTGTCGTCATCGAGAGGGGGTCCCGACGCACACGCTCCGGCGAGCCGCCACGCGCCGGCGTAGCTCGAGAAGAGCTCGAGCAGCCGACTGAGCAGAACCAGCGCGTCCTCGAGGGACAACCAGCGGAGCGCTTGCAGCAGGAAGACGTCGTTGCGCGGCGCACAGACGAGGAGGTCGAGCAGCGCCTGCGGGCGGCAGCGGCCGCCGGTCGGTGGCGTGTGGCGGCCACGGAGATGGGGTCTGCGAGGCGGGGCCTCGCCTCCCAACTCTCGCCCATTTTGGGCGGCGGCCTTGGGGGCGGCGCCGCCGCGACTCGCTTCCGCTCGTGCAGCGCGAGGCGTAGCAGCGCGAGCAAGCCGGCGGCGTCGAGGTCGGCCGAATGGCGGACGTACAGAAGGAGCATCTCGAGCTCGCGGGCGTCGCACAGAGCGGCGAGCAGCTGCGACTCGTGCGCCCCGCCGCTGAGCGCGCCCGCCTCAATCAGC